AGGTGACGATTAGACCAACTAATAGCTAAGTCCATTAATCTTATGTCGTAGGCGCTTGTCTCATAAGATAACCATTTTTAATTGGCTTAGTGTTAAAATTTCGTATTAAAGGAAGTTTAAAGCCGAACGTTTTATAAAATGAAGGAACTTTGCGTCACTCGAGGATGTCCGATTTTTTCTAGCTTTACTTCTTCAGTCCAACACTCAACGAACTTAATTTATAACGTAAAAATAGTATATTATAAGGACAACCTTTCTTGGCATTAGAAGCTCAAAACTCAGATAAATTGATCTTAACACCGTAACTATGATAACGAATATTAATGACGTCCTGTAAAAACGTCTTAAATTTACGCTGGTAAATTAAATTTTCAATACTCCCTTCAGAGCCTGCGATGAAGCCAATATTGAGCCGACAAGATCCATGTCGAGCGTATTGAGACTGATAATTACTGTTTTTCAAAGCATTGTTGATTGAAAAGTTATATTTGATATTACTTATGATGCTTCTGTTAATTATTTAAACTTAAGGGATCCAGGCTGTTACACGTAATATCTGGGCAGCTTTCCCACTGAGGTCGTTTACAGTAGCTTGTAACGTTCATTGAATTTAGCGGGGCTTTGTGTCTACAGCCGCTTAAACATGGAGATTCTATCTTGGATTAGAATACCTTTGATTCGATTTATCATTGCTTCTTTCAACTCACCAAGAGTAAACTGCCAGCATTTTAAAAGAACTGATTCGGGAGTGAGCTTTGCTCAGTTTGTGGGAAATCCATTTACAAGACTAAACGCTTCATTTCTAGCAACTTTGCAGGTTTCGAGTCTTGGTGAATGTACCTTCGAATGCATCAACCATCACGACTGTTTCTCTGTTAACTTCGGTAACCGAGTCCATGGAACACATACATGTGAGTTGATAAACAGCGACAAGTTTAACCAGCCAGACAGGTTTGCTATCAACCAAGAGTTCTACCATTACAATATCGAGGTAGGTCCTAGTTCCGCGTTAATAAATGTTACGATGTTATGTGAAATTATGGTAAATTATTGCAACGTTTACAGCAGAACTTCAGTAACATTCATAAGAACAATATATTAAACAGAGAAACTAGTAGAGTTTGCAAAAACTTTAGTGGTGGGAAATGATTCTAAATTTTTATTTAAAAATAATTTGTGCGGGTTTTAACGTTTCTTAATACAGAGCCTGCCATTATCTCCTAGAGAAATAAAGAATTCTTGAACCTAAATAAGCTAAATTTAGACTCTTTCATTTGAGCCGGGGGGTACTCCCAGAAACGTTGGGTGGAGGTGTGCGGCCCGTTTCCCAAAACCCTTACCCTATTTATGACCAAAATCTGCGATATTTCCTACCCTATTTATGACCTGACCAAATATTCAATACCCTTTTTATGACCTGACCATGAAATCAAAACCCTGTTTCAGATCTGCGTTATAATAAGTTCCCTAGTTCAGACCGATGTTAAATTACCGTAAACATAATTTGTGAAGGGCTTTTGTTAATTTTCTATTCGATAATGATGAAAAAGNTTACAAGACTAAACGCTTCATTTCTAGCAACTTTGCAGGTTTCGAGTCTTGGTGAATGTACCTTCGAATGCATCAACCATCACGACTGTTTCTCTGTTAACTTCGGTAACCGAGTCCATGGAACACATACATGTGAGTTGATAAACAGCGACAAGTTTAACCAGCCAGACAGGTTTGCTATCAACCAAGAGTTCTACCATTACAATATCAAGGTAGGTCCTAGTTCCGCGTAAATAAATGTTATGTTATGTGAAATTATGGTAGATTGTTGCAATGTTTCCAGCAGAACTTCAGTAACATTTATAAAAACAATATATTAAACAGAGAAACTAGAAGTGTTTACAAAAACTTTAGTGGTGGGAAATGATTCTAAATTTTTATTTTAAAAATAATTGGTGCGGGTTCTAACGTTTCTTAATACTGAGCCTGCCATTATCTCCTAGAGAAAGAAAGAATTCTTAAACCTAAATAAGCTAAATTTAAACTCTCTTATTTGAGCGGGGGGGGGATACTCCCAGAAATGTTGGGTGGAGGTGTGAGGTTCGCTTCCCAAAACCCTTACCCTATTTATGACCAAAATCTGCGATATTCCCTACCCTATTTATGACCTGACCAAATATTCGATACCTTATTTATGACCCGACCATGAAATTAAAACCCTGTTTCAGACCTGCGTTGTAATAAGTTTCCTAGTTCAGACCAATGTTAAATTACCGTAAACATAATTTGTCAAGGGCTTTTGTTAATTTTCTATTCGATAATAATGAAAAAGTGGCTTCTTCTTAAAAACATACCCATATCAAGGCTAGAGTGCAAAAACCACACCCTATTTATGACCAAAATGGCTGAAAAACCCTACCTTTTGGGACCGCACACACCTATATAGCTCATATAAGGGAGTCCCCCCGCCAGGGCATTTGAGCGACTGCCAACAACAGAGTGATCATAAAAACTTAGAAAATAGCGCTTCATTTGACAACAAAACCGAATAAAAATTTATTCCAGGAAGTTAAGGACGGTTTTGGAAAACTGAGATCCATCTTGAAAGCAAGAAAAGCAGAATCTTGACCTGTATTTTAGTTTGGCTTGTTAAAAATTTACTGACAGAAATTGAAATTTTAACTGTTCACCCTTTATTTATTAAACGTCCGCGAAGTCAAATTACTTATTTTGAAATTTATACTTTTCTTATACTTCTTGCCCTCCAGATGGGTTATGTTTAAAAATGAAACCAAGTACAGCAAATTTCGTTCAAAATAAATCTCCTGCGCGAGCTTTTTTGTTATTGGCGTTGAAATTAATTACGACAAAGTCCCACTAATGCACGAGTATTTACTTAAAAAGCGTTGTCTCTCATATTTTTTGACTATAAATTCAACTCGAACGCTCATCGGATATGAAAAATAACAGTATTTTAGAACCTTAGAACAGCTTAGATGTAAAGGACATTTGGAGATGGTAGAATTCAAAACGGATAATTTCAAAATATTCTTTTCAGTCCCTTTATTTTAACCCCTTTTATTGCTCCCAAAATTTACATGTTTTTGACAAATAAAAGCCGTAAGCAGCCATCTGCCATAGACAATGACAACTGGCAATAACTTACCCTGACAATAAACGGGAAAAGACGGATTAATTTGGTGTCAGCGATATTTTAGTTTAATAAAAACATTCACGTCTGAAAACTTATTTATATAGCGCTATTTCTATCACTAAACGTTACAGGCGGATTTTTTACAGCGTGAAACAACACGTTCATCTTAGTACTTGGTTAAACAACTTTGATTCAGATTTCACTGTTTTTATCTCTTGTTATTTTCTCAAAGACACCTTGCATGTCGAATCCATGCAGAAATGGCGGCACATGTCAGCCGATCTATGACAGAGAAGATTATCGATGCTTATGTCCAATTGCGAATGTTATTGGAAAAAACTGTGAAAATTGTGAGTAGTATAAAAGCTTGAAACTGGTCTCCTAACGCAGGCGCTCTTTGGGTTTGTAGCAAGCCCTCACGCATGGTCACGCATTCATCGATCTTATAGTGGAGAAAAGATTGCTTGACAAACCCTGAGATTTTTTGCGTAGGAGACTGGTTCCTACCGCAAACTTGGACGCTCATGAAAACTTAATCAAGATTTAATAAAAATTCACCAAACTATCCGAATTANACTCAGCAAGAGTAAACTGCCAGGATTTTAAAAGAACTAATTCGGGAGTAAGTTTTGCTCAGTTTGTGGGCAATCCATTTACAAGACTAAATGCTTCATTGCTAGCAACTTTGCAGGTTTCGAGTCTTGGTGAATGTACCTACGAATGCATCAACCATCACGACTGTTTCTCTGTTAACTTCGGTAACCGAGTCCATGTAACACATACATGTGAGTTGATAAACAGCGACAAGTTTAACCAGCCAGACAGGTTTGCTATCAGCCAGGAGTTTTACCATTACAATATTAAGGTGGGTTGAGATAGCTTCAAGTTCCTCCTGTTATTCTTAAGAGTTCCGAGTGAATAAACGTTATGTCATGCTTTGGGGAATTATCGTAACTAATTATTGCAACGATGATAGCGGAACTTCATTAATAAACTTTGCAATCCGGTGGTTTTGAAAGCTAACTACATGCTTCCATTTATGAGTAATATCTTTAATTTTCTCAACAGTGATCAACACCAGTATTCTGTAAATTTGATGTTTATTGTAAAATTCGTTCGTGGCGCATGGGTTGTTTTCATAACATTTATAAAAAAAGTATATTAATCGGAGAAACTAATAGAGTTTTGGCAACTTTATTCTTTCTGACAGTTTTTTTTAAACAATATTCGTGCGGGTTTAACGTTTCTTAATACTGAGCCGGACATTATATCCTAGAGAAATAAAGAACTCTTGAACCTAAATCAGCTAAATCTACTCTCATTTGAGCGACTGCAAACAACAAAGGTTCCACACTATGTGAAAAACCTAGAAAATAGGGATTCCTTCCCATAAAAACCGTCTAAAAATTTATTAAAGGACGTTAAGTACGGTTTTAGAAAAGATCCATCTTGAAAAAAAAAGGCAAAATAGAATCTTGTTTTTACAATTGCGACCTTCAGCAGCCAATATGTTAGTTCGGCTTATTAAAAATTTAGCACTTAGAACTTTAAACTGTCCACCATTTATTTGATAAACGCCAGCAAAGTCAAATTAGTTATTTAGAAATTTATATTTTCCTTTCTTCTGTCCCTTCAGATGGGTTGTGTTTAAAAATGAAATCAAGCACTACTTAATTTAGTTCAAAATAAATCTCCTTGCAAGAACGTTTCTGCTCCAGGCGCTGGGAGAAATTTCGACAAAACCCCCACTAATTTAAATTTATTTATTTAAATAGTGTTGTCTCCCATTTTAATTTAGAACTATAAATTTAACTTGAACACTGATCGGATATAAACAGTAATAATACTGTTAGTGCTTTAGAACTCTAGAAAGAGCTTAAATAAAACAGTCTCAAAGGACATTTGCAGATGGTAGAACCTAAGACGGATAATGTCAAAATAAGCTTTTCAATCTTGAATCTCTTTTTGTTAGCCTTCAAAATTTGCATGCTTTTAAGTAAACAAGTACAGGTAGCCCTCAAGCAGCCATCTGTCATGGACAATAACAACTAGCAACTACTTACCCTAACCATAAACAGGGATAGAGGGATTATTTTATTACAAGGATATTAAACACTGACGTCTGAGCGAGCTGTGTAGAAACATGGGGCGATAACGAATTGAAAATGATGATGGTAACGGTTTCCACGCTTAGACTGAGTTATAATTAAATGTGTATGAAGGAGTATACTCATTTACAGAGATGCTCAATAGACAGCAGTCACCAAACATAAAAGCGGATGTCATAAGTAGAGAAACGACACAATGACTGTCACCGTTCTTCTCTTCTTATTCTCTCAAAGACACCTTGCATGTCGAATCCATGCAGAAATGGTGGCACATGTCAGCCGATCTATGACAGGGAGGATTATCGATGCATATGTCCATTGGCGAATCTTGTTGGGAAAAATTGCGAAAATTGTGAGTAGTATACAAGCTCGAAACTGGCCTCCTTACGCAGGCGCTCTTTGGGCTTGTCATAAATCCTCACGTATAGTCACGCATTCATTGATCAGTATGGTGAAGAAAAGATTGCGTGGTATGAAAGTCCTAAGATTCTCTGCGTAGGACACTGGTTATCAGAACTTGATGTTTCCATGGAAACCATACTTTCATCATGACTTCTATAAAATCATTTAAACATATCTTCTGTTTAACTGGTTAAGGCATTCAACTTCATCAGTTCGCTGGTTTACATATCTAGGGAAAATCTGTGACGTTCATCAAGGTTTGGTGTCCAGCTTCTATTCTTCACCTTTGCTACGCCACAGTCGAATAACACTCTTATTGTCTTAAGTTGTCAAGTGTTGTCTTGATTTTCTTCAATCTCAGTTGCAGTTATTTTCAATAATCATTCGCTTTCTTCTTCAAGTGTTATGCAACGATGAGACCTTAGACATCTGCACAAAGGTGACATTTTCGTGGGAAGTAGAATCTAAAAACTCACAGAATGCTGCGTTCTCCGGCTGCGACTCCGCTCAGATCAATAAAGGAGATGAATTGCTTTTTATGATAACCAGAGGAAGTTTGTCCGACTATGGGAAGTACGAAATCTTGAAAGTGGAAGAAGTCAAAGGGTGAGTACTTCCATTTATACATGAATTTTATTCTTAATATGTCGAGTCTCTATAAATCAATGAGTTACCTTCGACGTTCGGGAGTTCAGGGTGATTTGAGACAACAATTCTGAAACACAGCAGGAAGAAAAACACAAAAAAGAATTACTGTTAATGAGTTGTTCGTTTCATCCTCCCTTCCCCCTCCCCTCCCAGCACCTCTGTTTCATCCTCCTTTTGCAATTCGAATGGCGTTAATGTAACGATGTTCTTCGTCTATGTTTTTTCTTTCGTAAAGTTGCAACGTCACATTGAGCAATGCCTTCACCCACCAAGAGATATCTGATGGCAATTATGAGATTGCTCAATTATTTCCAAGTTATGACAAAGTCACACTGAGCAACAACTGCATTCTGACATGTCGACAGCAAAGCAATGGACATGGCGGGATCCTGGCTCTAAGAGCGAAAAGAATGAATATCGATGGAACCTCCAAGATATTAACTACTGGAAAAGGTATACCGGGTAAATTGTCGCGATTCCTCGAAATTATAATGAGTCAGTTGGTCAGTCGGTCAGTCAGTCAGTCAGTCAGTCCGTCAGTGAGTCAGTCAGTCAGTGAGTCAGTCAGACAGTCAGTCAGTCAGTCCGTCAGTCATTCAGTCCGTCAGTCAGTCAGTCAGTCAGACAGTAAGTCAGTCGGTTGGTTGGTCGGACGGTCGCTCTGTCAGTCAGTCAGTCAGTCAGTCAGTCAGTCAGTTATTCATCCATTCCCTCATCCACTGACCCACGTATGTGGAGGTCGAAGTCCATCTGTTACTGCATTAATGAATGTACTGTCTTCGTTAGGTTTCCGTGGTGGACAAGGTGGTGACTCTAGGGGTGGGGGTGGTTATGGCGGCGAATCATTCCTCCATCTTGTGACAGGAAACAATGGAAAAGGAGGAGATATTTCCGGAACCTCCTGGACTGTAAACACAAACGGACTTGGAGGTGGTGGTGCAGGGGATACATCCGGTCAGTTCCTCATTGTTATTAACAATGATGTGATTGTTAACCGTAAATTTGTGAAAAAAGTGATCTGATCAACATGACACGAGCGTGGGACAAAGAAAAAATCTAACTCCAGGAATCGAACCATCCACTGAGCTACGAGAACTCATGGAGAGCACGCCCATTTAACTGAGTTTATATGTAAGAGGCGTCTTGCATACTGCTAGGATCAGCACTGTACAGGACGCTTTTGCAGGACGCCTGTCACCTACGAACTCAGTTAAATGAAATTGCTCTCCATGAGTTCTCGTAGCTCAGTGTATAGAGCGCCCGCCCGGTGTTCAGGAGGTCATGGATTCGTTTCCAGTCGGGGACTCAGATTTTTTCTTTGTCCTACGCTCGTGTCATGTTGATCAGTTCACTTTTTCATATTTCATTATCGAGCTTAAAATTCACCATGTTAATTCACTTATCAAACCACAAACTTGTTGTTAATATTCAGGTAGCCAAGGAGGTCCCGGAGGATGGAATGCCGGAGGGGGAGGGGCTGATTCTGCTATTAATAGTGATGACGGTGCCGGTGGAGGGGGAGGAGGTGGCCATTTTTCTGGTGGTGGGGGTGGTGGTGGTGGAGCAGGTTGTAGTGATGGAGGGAAAGGAGGAACAGCATCTACTGTTGTAAGTAAACAAGTTTTTATGTTGGTACGTTTCTTTGTCTTCTTGTTTACTTTTCCTTTTTGTCTACTTGAGTTTTTTTCGTATTTCAATTCTGATCAAGATCAGAATAAGCAGAATTCAATTCTAAACACGATCGAAATTTTATAACAACGATGCTGGCAATGTTGCTTCTACGTAATGGTTGTAATTGGTTATAAAATGCATCCAATTTTCCAAGATGATAGCTGATCATTTATCTTACGCTGATCAGTAATTGATAACAAGCAGTATCTGACATTCCGCCGTCCCGCGTGTATGAACGGTTAGAGAACCGACGATAATTCCAGTGTAATTAGCTATATTCTTTGTTGCTGATGAAGGGGAACCTTCAGTAAAAAGCTGACACCACTGAGACCAGAAAATGTGACCACTTGAGACAGGGATCCGCTTACGTGAGGCCAGAACACGTAGTGTTCGGCTGTGACTCTGATCATGCATGCAAACTGGCAATCATAAATGCTTCATATTAGTTGGGGTAGCATAATGATAACAATAACTTTATTAATCGAG